ACAAAAAATAAGTTGCATGAGATAATATGAGATACTTAATAATGCCCCAAATACGGAACTATCTGGATTCCATTGAAATGTCTACGAAATTCGGGCTCACTTTCTCAAAATGGACGAATTTCATTCGGAGAACAGAGAATAGAAAGAGAGAAGAAACCGTTTGGAAGTTTTTGGTATGCTCTCCTTCTAATATATACTCTACTTAGATATACTCTCCTTAGATATTCGCCCAAAGCAACAGAAGATTTATTTATAATAATCTTAGCTCAAGTGAAAAATGGGTTTAGATCTAGCTCGGCCCATCTTGAGGCTGCCCTGGTGAAAAGTGTGACCAAATGCGGCCACAATTTGGGGCTGCTTTTCATGAACTTGACATTATCGATATTGTACGAATGAAACGAAATGTATTTATACAAGGGTAACGGTAAAGGATTTATCGCTTATTTTCGTAACTGTTGCAAACACGCTCACCAAATCCATATGCTTGCCCCGTTTGCAGCGCCACCAGACAATGCAACAGCTTGTTGATTTGGTTCTTTTCTTTTCGTTTCGTTTCGTTTCTATTTTTTTTTTTTTTTTTTGTGTTTTGCGTAGGCCCGATTCATTGGATGGTTGGATTTTCAGCTGGAAATTGGTTCTAGTTGCAAAAGAAACTCACCTGCAATGAAAAGAGAGATAGAGAGAGAGAGAGAGAGAGAGAGAGAGAGGAGAGAGGGAGTTAGAAATGGAGAGAGTATATAAGTGAGAGTGAGCGAGAAAGAAATGCAAATGCGATTAGTTGGCTGACAAAAGTTATAAGAAGAGTTTTCAGCGGCAGCTTTAAGGCATGTGAGAAAAACAATTGCAGCCGAAGAAGAAGCAGAGACGATGTAATACACACAGTTGACCCTACGTTGAGTTGAAGCTGTGTGCGTGCGTGCGCGCGCGCGCGCGCGTGTGTGAGTGAGTGTGTGTGTGAGTGTGTGTGCCTACAACATAAACTCACAAATCAAAACTTGGCTGAAAGTGCAGGCCGAAGCTGCTGCTGCTGTTGGTGCTGTTGGTGCAGCATTTTGTTGTTGTTGGTTGCCGTTGGCTCTGTTGCTGCCACTCGCAGCCTCTACACATGGCCAGCAGCAGCAGCAGCAGCAGCAGCAGCAGCAGCACATACATAACTAATAGATACATAAAGCCGTATCTTTTGGGTGAATGAACTGTAATGAGAATGTGAACCTAGGCAACAGCAGCCAGCCAGCAGCCACTGAGATGTTGAAAATCGCAACGCAAAGTGCGCAATTGAAGCTGTTGTTGTTGTTGTTGTTGTTGTTGCTGTTGTGTTGCTGTTGTATTCGCTATGGGGCAAACTCACCAATAACAATAACAACAACAACAACAACAAAACTGACCAACAACGAGACGCGACAAAACAGCGAGCACAAAACAAACGAATGCAAAAGTCAAAAGCAGCGACAGTGGAAACAAACAACATGCGGCTGCGGGAAGGGGGGGGAGGTTGTGCGCTTGCCTGGCATACATAGGCAACGTGCAGCGAGTGGTGCGGGGTTGAGGGTAGGGGGTAGGGAGGGGGGGAGGTAGAAGGGGCCTGGTCGGGCGTTATCTCAATTGTATACATACAGCCAGTTGCTGCGATTTTAAAACTGGACCAACAAAAACACCAGCAATACGTTGCGATTGCAGCCAGGTAGACAAAAACAATAACAGCAACCAGAGGACCCCCCCCCCCCCCCCCCCCCCCCCCCCCCCCCTACACACACACACACACACATATATATACATACAGAAAATGGTTATGGCGCGAGTTGCGATCAGATGCGATCCAATCGGTTCGGGACACAGTTCAAGGACACAGCTACTTAAGATGGATTTGAAGTAACTTGCAACTGGCATTTTGCTGAGCTTCGTATTTGCCGTATTTGCAAAATGTGGCAAACTCAATGAAGAAGAAGAAGAGCGATCGAACATGCATATAAAGAAATGCGATGGGCAGACAACTCTGTTAGACATAACAGAGAATTTATTTCAACAAATCAACCTATTTGTATACACACTTTTTATAACTGTTAAAATATATCAAATGGGATCCAAGAGTATTTAATTTTCGGCTTGCCGAAGATGTATATATATGTATTTTCGTGTCACTATTTAGTTTTTCGAATTCATGAGTGAATAACTCGTATTGCGGAAGTTCCCTTTTTAAAATCTGTACTAGTTTTAAATTCTAGCCATGTCCTCCACCTGTCCGTTTCTAAAAATACGCCAATATCGTCAACAAGAATTGCTAATTTGTTTGGGAATATATTTCCGAGAATATACGTATGTATATTTTCTGGAGTATTTCAGAGTAGGTCGATATGTGTAGGGTATCTAGTAGTCGGGGCAATTTGCAACTGCCTGTAGGGTATCCTATAGTCTGGCAATTCGAAATTGTGCGTAGTTAAGCTCGTAGTCGGGCATTTCGTAACTGCGTGTGAGGCATCTCATAGTCGGGAAATTCAAACGTATGTGTAGGGTATCTAGTAGTCGGGCAATTCGTAACTGCCTGTAGGGTATCCTATAGTCCGGCGATTCGAAAGTAGTCGGGCATTTGGTAACTGTGTGTAAGGCATCTCATAGTCGGGAAATTCAAACGTATGTGTAGGGTATCTAGTAGTCGGGCAATGCGAAACTACGTGTCGGCTATTTTCGAATACATTTTGTTTAACAGACTGAACTGCACGCCATACGAAATCGAACGTTCAAATGAAACTCAACTCGGAACTGGAAAACTCAACTTCTCATTTTTGGATGTAGGATGGGGGCAGAGGTGGCGAAGGGGGGTCGGTAAACATGCGACGGGAGTACATAAATATGTATGTTAGTATGTACAAACATATACATACATACATACATATATGAAAATGTTAAAGTAGATTCGCACACACGCACACTAATTTGTGTGCGTGTGTGTGTGTGTGTGTGTGTGTGTGTGAGTGCTTCAATGTAAAAAGTTTATTTCTGGCTTGCGTTTCCCTTCATATTCGTCGTGTGCAATTGTTGTTGTTGTTCTTCGCTTTATTCGTAGAAGTCAACTTTTCATCGTTTTGCATCAGGTTCTCCATGTCTAGCTTTCTCTCTCCACCGTTAGTTCTGCTGTCCCTCTGTTCGCCTCTTTCGTTTACGCTTTGTGCTGCGCTTCTTGTTGCTGTGCGCTATGCGAGCAAATTAAAAATTCAATTTTTGTGTTGTGCAACTTTTGCACTTTTGCACTTAACCCCCAAACACCAACCCCACCAGCCAGCCCTCTCTCGACTTTATACACGCCAACGCAGCCTCCATTGCGCGCCACCTCCCCCCTTAAAAAACTCCGTTGACTTTTCTTTTACTGTGTGCTTCTTCCCCTTTGCGCTTACTCCACATGCGTGCAGGTTAGCGATATGTTATTAGAAAGGCCTCCTTCCTACTTTTGCCTTCTGCCCTTATATTGAGACCCCCCGCCTTCCCCCGCTGCCCCATCACAACACATCTTCATCCACAGACAGTCCATCACCCTCTTACCCCCCCCCCCCCCGCGCAGCACCTGCTGTCTTTCTGCATGTGGTTCAAAGGCCACGCCCCTGCCTTTGTTGCTATTGCCAAAATGTTATAAATTTGTTTAATAAATGAAATAATAAAAAAAAATCATAGATAACTAACTATTGTTGAGATTTATTAGTTTTAGAAGATTTTTAGAGGGTTTTATAATTTTTTAAGTATATATATTCTAGATCAGGATCAAAGGTCGAGTTGAAAACGCCATACTCCGTTTGTCCATCTGTCTATTTCTATGCGAACTACACTCTCCGTCTTAAGGCTTTCGTCTTGAAACTTTGCTTAGATCCCTTTTTCTTTCAGGCAGATCATATGTCGGCGCCGGCCAGATCGGACCACTATATCATATGGCTGGCAAGGAACGATCGGTCACTTGTAACACACTTTTTTAAAGACGATTTGGAGAACTCACTTCGTACATGGAGTACACAATATCGAGGTTGAGCATGCGCACCTGAGATACCCTGTCATTTTTTTCAATATTTTATAGTCCGAGCCTTATAAAATGTTCCTTGATTGACTTCCAAATCATAAATAGCTCTAAAAAACGCGTTTACTTTTAACCTTGTGTCGAAAAAGTTTAATATTCTCAATCTCTTATGAGGTTGGGCGCTACGTCGTCGTAACAAATTAATTGTTTAAATGCTAAGTAAACCAGCTCAAATACCTTATATAACATTATAAATATGTACTAATATACTGCATGGCATCTCAATAAGCACAAATAACTAGGCTTAAAATCAATAATAATTAATTTGCGAAAATGTGAAACATTCTCAGCCCAAGGCTTTTAAAACCGACCGAGCACAAAAACTACAAATCGATAATTATCGATTTTCGAAAAACGATTTATGAATTCGACTAAAATACATATGTTCTTCAAAATTTAAGTCTCTTGCCTAAAGTCTTACTGTTAAAAGGACGGACTGACAGACAGATGGATATGAGAAGGTAACTAGGTAACTAGTTCCATATATAAATACATAATGGGCTCTTCATAAGATCGGCGATGCCAACTTAAAAAGAATGCAATTAACTGATTGTTCAGTAAAGTTGTGTATACTTGCCTCTGCCTGATTTGGTAAAGTTCTTTTACCTGTCTGCTTTTCCCAAATTCGATATATATCGATTTCAGGTATTTTGCAGTAAGCGTTTCTTTTTGAAAAATGTTCAAACCCAGCAGGCAGTATAATAATATTTTTGCTAGCTCGTAGAAATTATCAGTTAACGTATATTTTTTGAGTCTAAATGTACAAACTGTACGCTGGAAAACATATATATTAAACAAAATAAGTCCATCAACATGGAAAAGAAGACACAGGCAGCGAATATGATGGTCAAACCCTCTGCCAGAGAAAGCGATGATAGCGAAAGGGACACCGGCGAGGAAAGCGATATAGATACGGATGAGGATAAGAGTCGTGACAAACCGCTGTAGGCTGAAGCATTATAGACGACAGGCAAGTAGTTCGAGCATGTTTGCGGTTAATATATTGCACAGATCTTCTGATGACGAAATCTTTGCAATTAGTTGAACAAATTGTGGGAAAGTACAATGAAAATAGGTAAGAGAACTGAAGAAATCGGCGAGGAATGGAAAATAGAGCACGAACGGCTGGAAATGGCGAATACCAAACTGACCGAACTAACTCAAAAGTATATGAAGAACAACAAGGAACGGATTATGTATGTTGTTAAGATTTTTCATTTAACATATAATAGATCGCCAACCATTTACTTTCTTTCATAGCAATAAAGCTGATGCCGAAAAATTGCCGCGTCCACAGCCCGCATCTAAAATAGCCAAACCAAAGTCTAGCCCTAAGGTACCCATGCATAAGCATGCAACAAACCCATCCAATGTTCCATTGAAAACATCCGAAACAAAAAAAAGTTTCACCGTTGACCCCAAACCGAAGAAGAATATCAAGCCTGTTCAAATGTCATCCAAGGACGAAAAAAAGGCCTCGTTCAAGAAGTCAACATTGTAGACAGCACATCTGATAATTCAAGAACATAATAAAATGCCATCGATGCCATCCATCTTGCTATTGCTTATTTTTGCAGTTACTCTTTCGATCCGCGTTCTTATACACTTTTATGAGCAAATCATTCGAGAACGTATTTGACTTAGGAGCTAACATTAACTTTGATTTGCTGCAATGGAACTGCAATGGAAAAGATTTCAGATAGTTTCCCAATCGATTGATATATTTGAAACTTTATCATCTCTTTCTTATAAGATCCTAAAAAAATATGCTTAAGATTTTATCTATGCGAACTTCTGGCTTCCATTGTAGATCAGGTTATCATTCGATATCACGCTTAGGCTTAGCACATTTGGTAAATAATAAACAAATATTTATTATTATATGATATTTTATTGGCCAGATCGGACCTCTATACTATCGGTCAGAACTCGCAAGCGTCTCCTACCGAGCGAACTACTTGCCATCTTCTCATGCCGGAACTAGTTTTTTTTTTTCGAAAACAATACTGAATTAAAATTAAATTCGCAATTTCAATGCTATTTATAGAATTTAAAACAGATACATGAATGTATGCGGCTCGTCAACGTTTTCTTTAAGAATTTCTGCATTCCTAACCGATCTTGATGAAGTTTTCTGGATTATATCCTTTTGTGCCATGTAATATTCGTAAGTACAATTGACGCTATGAGTTGTTCCTGTGATGATTGGTATTCCAATGAAATATGCCTAATCTATGCATTTAATAAGAGAAAATACATGCTCAATTCGATGACGCTAGCTCTTAAGGCCTGAGAGATGTGTACAAAAGTCCGATACCGATGTCGACTTTAATCGCTTGCTTCGAACGAAGCAAGTTTCGATAGTCGTAAATAAGTTCCTACTTCTCGGACAGTAGAAAGACCTACTTATAAGATTCAAGTCTATGGCTTTAGCTTTACGTGCTTAGATCAACTCATTCACAGAGGCTAGATCGACCTCGACTACATCAACTTTGTAAGGTTGAAGAGTCTTTTTCGTCTTTAAAAATAGTTGGCAGCAAATAAAGCGTTTCGTACAAAAACATAGCAGTCACTTGTTTTTCAATTTTCTTTTCATTGTAACATACAAATTGGAGTAAATCAAATCTTTAGCGAATTATATTTGCCTCCGGAGTCAAAACATTCGAATTGTGAAGCGGTTACATGAATATTTATAAACACGATTTGCCCTGACAAGGCCGGACAATCCCAGTCAGTTTCTCTGTTAATATATATACTTATATATACCGAATCTGTAGAAGGTAGCATTAATCTCTTAGCAACGATTTTGGTATTCATTTGCAAAGTGCGTACATTGCGTATACGCAATATATGCCTGTGTTAACGCTTCTATAAACGCAACAAATGGAAGCCAAGCCAAAACGTAGCTCAAAGGAATATGGAATATTGGCCCATTAGGAGTAAAAAAAATACAGGCAGCAGTTGAGCTCTTCATTTGATATATGACATACATATGAGTACATGGACATACACACACACACATATATATATAGACAGATGCCTATGTACAGCTATGTAGCTATATAGCATGCATGTCTATATAAAAGTATCTCTGCCTGTGCATCTGCATCTGCATCTGTATCTGAGGCTGGGTAACTGGAAAAAGCAATGCGCAAAGTGCGATGCCGGGGTGATGTTGGGGCAATGCTGATATGTCCGTCCGTCCATCCGTCCGTCCGACCGTCCGTCTGTCTGTCTGTCCGTCTACAACTCTGCAATTCCACGACCTGCTGCACTCGCCACCCACAAAGACACACTCAGCCACGCACAGAAACATATCTATCTATAATATAATATATATATATATATATATATATATATATATATATATATATATATGCCTGGGAGACTACCAACGAAAATGCGTTGCCATGCACACACCAGTACACACCACACACACACACACAACACACGCGCGCGCACACATACGCACGCACATTAGCGACGCCTGACGACAGCCCAGCGACAAATCCAAGTCAACTTTAGATTCAAAGCGCGGCCCGACAATCTGCACCAAATGCAAGTTGAACGGCCAAAAAAGGTTGACAAAGCGCCTAACCGACTAGCACACCCAAAGCCAACAATCCTTTGCCTGCACACACCCCCCAAACACCACACAAGAGCGGCCCCTCGCTCCCTATAACCATGGCCACTATTACCTAACCGGGCACAGTGGTTCAATATACACCGAACATATATCACAATTTGTCGCCATCACATTGAATGAATTTCTTTTTGAGAAAAATTGAAAACTTAAAAAAAGTTTAGACTTTCAGTGAAGAAAACATATTGTGAGTATTAAAGACAAAGAATTGATTTATATAAAAATGTTGAATCTGTCTTTGTTGCTTGAGAAAC